GGCGTTTTGCCCCGCTGCAAGAGGCTCAGGCATTTAGTGGCAACTGGAGTGCACATGTGGACCATCCACTTCCACTGGCTGCAGCCTGAGAGTCTGAGAGCTGCTTCTGTTAGATAGGTGTGGGTGCTGCACTCCATGGTGCTTCCATTTGGGGAAATAAGTGCCTAGAGAGGCTTATGCTCAAAACGCAGACTGCATGTGTTCCAGGAATTCAGCCCTGGGACACATGTTTCCCGAAACATTCATGCCGCTAAGTGTACTGCCCAGCCACAGAGGCTGTCAGTCTCTCATAGTGTTTGACAGGCTGTCGCCAGTAGGGCAGGATGGTGTGCCTGTGACATCCAGCTGAAGCTAAATATTGGAGCCCCATGCACCCAGACTGAATACCCAGTGTGCATGAAGTCCATACTTGCCAAATATTTCAATATACTTTTCCAGGGACACCTTTTCTGCTATGTATTCAGCAAGCCATTGTAGACAGAAAATGTACTTTAATTAGGGGCGGGTCATTCACTTAAATGAGCACGGTTCTACAATTTCACTTTAAAATACTGCTACAGGGCGGCATGGTGCGCAAAATCACGTATACATTTTGCGCACCCTACCCGCACCACTCTGCCGCGGCTGTCAATCACCGGGTCCCGGACAATGATTACTCGCTGGCGCCCTTTGATCGCCGAGCATCTCCGACAGGGAAGGAAAACTGTAAACAAAACAGTTCTCCTCCCTGCCAGCTTGTGCACACTGCTTTTGATGGCTGTGAATGGGGAACACAGCTTATAGTAAAACAGCACACAGCACACATTACACAGTTAATCCTTTGATCGCCCCTTGTGTTAACCCCTTCCTGCCCAGTGCTATTAGTAATGTGTCAGTTGTTTTTTTTTTAGCACTGATCACTGTATTGGTGTCACTGGGGATGTCAGTGACACCAAGTCAGTTCCCCCCAGTGTCAGAATGCCCGCTGCAGTCCCGCAGTCCCGCTATAAGTTGCTGATTTTTACTAGTAAAAATATAAATAAATCCCAGTATATATACCGTCTTTTGCAAACGCTATAACTTTCACATAAACCAATTAATTTACATGTATTGGGATTTTTTTTTTAGTAAAGACGTAGCAGAATACATTTTGGCTTAAATTTATGACGAAATTTGATTTTTAAAATTTTTTACAGGACATGTTTAATAGCAAAAAGTTAAAAATATTGTTTTTTTCTCAAAATTGTCGGTCTTTTTCTTATAGTGAAAAAAATAAAAACCGTACAGGTGATCAAATACCACCAAAAGAAAGTTCAATCCGTGGGTAAAAAAGGAGATAAATTTAATTTGAGTGCAGTGTGGCATGAACGCGCAATTGTCAGTTAAAGTAATGCAGCGCCGTAACGCAGAAAATGGCCTGGTTAGGAAGAGGGGTAAATCCTCTGTAGGGCAAGTGGTTAAAGACAGCATGGGGGTCAGGGTGGTAAGTGACACAGAGTGCAAAGATCAATAGTAAGTGACACAGAGTGCAGAGGTTCAATAGTAAGTGACATGGACTGCACAGGTTCAGTCATAAGTGACACAGAGTATAGAGGTTCAGTAGTAAGTGGTGCAGAGTGCAGAGGTTCAGTAGTAAGTAGTGCAGAGTGCAGAGGTTCAGTAGAAAGAGGTGCAGAGTATAGAGGTTCAGTAGTAAATGAGATGGAGTACAGAGGTTCAATAGTAAGTGATGCAGAGTATAGAGGTTCAGTAGTAAGTGAGATGGAGTACAGAGGTTCAGTAGTAAGTGACGCAAAGTACAGAGATTCAGTAGTAAGTGATACAGAGTTCAGAGATGCAGTAGTAAGTGATGCAGAGTACAGAGATTCAGTAGTAAGTAACACAGAGTATAGAGGTTCAGTAGTAAGTGAGGAGTACAGAGGTTCAGTAGTAAGTGACGCAGATTACAGAGATTCAGTAGTAAGTGATACAGAGTACACAGATTCAGTAGTAAGTGATACAGAGTACAGAGATTCAGTAGTAAGTGACGCAGAGTGCATAGGTTCAGTAGTAAGTGATGTAGAGTTCAGAGATTCAGTAGTAAGTGATGCAGAGTACAGAGATTCAGTAGTAAGTAACACAGAGTATAGAGGTTCAGTAGTAAGTGAGAAGGAGTACAGAGGTTCAGTAGTAAGTGGCGCAGATTACAGAGATTTAGTAGTAAGTGATACAGAGTACAGAGATTCAGTAGTAAGTGACGCAGAGTGCATAGGTTCAGTAGTAAGTGACGTAGAGTACAGAGATTCAGTAGTAAGTGATGCAGAGTACACAGATTCAGTAGTACGTGACTGACAGTTCATATCTTAAAAAAGTGGAGCTAATTAAAGTGAGAATAAACTGTCTTTTTTTGCTTTGTACCTACAGGTAGATACTGTAAATATCTCCTAAAAGTGCAATGTTTAGGAGATATTTACCTGTATAGCCACCGGTGACATCACTCTGAAGGAATGGCATACCCGAGTCATTCCTTCAGAGCGCTGTGCCATAAACAGTGACTCCCGTGCACAAGTGTGGGAGTGATGTCATCGTGGCTTGCCCATTCAAATGGCTGGAGCCAGTGAACCTGGAAGGAAGAGCAGGTGAAGATGGGTTCCCTGTCAGTGGTGATGGGGCGCCACTGGAAGGATCAGTTTCACAGTTAAGTATGTGGTGCACACTAGTACAATGTGGCTTTAGCCTGCGTGGGGATCACTTTTTTATTGTTTTAAGCAGTGGTTTACTACTGTTTTAAGACCAATTCTATTTTGACATACAGAGAGAGACCTTACACAGAGAGGGACATGGCAAAGAGAGGGACATGGCGCAAAGAGAGACCTGGCGCAGAGAGAGACCTGGTGCAGAGAGGGACCTGCCACAGAGAGGGTCATGGCTCAGAGAGGAACCTGGCACAGAGAGAGACCTGGCACAGAGAGGGACCTGGCGCAGAGAGGGACCTGGCACAGAGAGGTACCTGGCGCAGAGAGATTTTGTGAAAGTGTCTTGCATGTTTTCTAAAAGTGGCGCAGTGTGCACCAAATTCAAGTGCAAGATCTAAACAACTACATGAATTTGGTGCACACTGTGCCTCTTTTAAAACAGACACTCACAAAATCTCTCTATGAATTCTAGATCCAGTATACAGGATCTCTATCTACCTGTACCTACGTACATGTACATGATTGGCTTCAAATGGTTATACCGGGCGGATATACCTGCAGCTGTATGCCATAACTACAGTTTTTTTGTTTCAGCTGGTGATGCTGTTTCATCTAAAGGCAATCCAATGGCTACTTCCCCCTCCCACTGATGCTTCTTCGGGATCTCCCATGCGATCAGGATGCCTGGAATCTGATCCGGCAGTGCTGCCGAGTGATCATAGAGTTGGCCAGGGACCTGCTGGTATTCGGCCCTCTCTATGGTCTAGAGCAGGGGTCTCAAAAACTGCAGCCCAAGGTGGCTAGCCTTTATCTGGCCCTTGGGCCACTATTCCTTCCACTGACACCAGTGATGGGATACTATTTCTCCCACTGACACCAATGATGGGCCACTATTCCTTCTAATAACACCAATGATGGGCCACTATTCCCTCTACTAACACTAACGATGGAGCACTAAGCTTCCCTCTGACACCAATGATGAGGCACTATTCCTTCTACTGACACCAATTCCTTCTATTGATATCAATGATGGGACACTATTCCTCCCACTAACACCAATGATGAACCACTATTCCTCCCACTGATACCAATGATGGGCCACTATTCCTTCCACTGACACCAATGATGGGACACTATTCCTCCCACTGATACCAATGATGGGGCATTATTTCTCCCACTAATACCAACGATGAGCCACTATTCCTCCCACTGACATCTATGAAGGGGCACTACTTCTTCCACTAATTCCAATGATGGGACACTATTCCTTCCACTGATCCCAATGATGGGACATTATTCTTCCCACTGACGCCAATAATGGAGCACCCTTCCTCCCACTGACAACAATGATGAGACACTATTCATTCTGCTGACACCAATGATGAGACACTATTCCTCCCACTGACACCAATGATGGGCCACTATTCCTCCCACTGACACCAATGATGGGCCACTATTCCTCCCACTGACACCAATGATGGGCCACTATTCCTCCCACTGACACCAATGATGGGCCACTATTCCTCCCACTGACACCAATAATGGGGCACTATTCCTCCTCCTTTTGACTACAAACCCTGTGGCCATGTTTATTCTCACTGATGCTGGGCACAGGACATTTTCTACCTCCACTGGCCAAAATCCGGCCCCCCTAAAGTCTGAAGGACAGTATACTGGCCCTTTGTTTGAAAAGTTTGGAGACCTCTGGTCTAGAGACTCGAAGTGACGTCACTTCTGGCTAGGCAGAAGGCCACTGCCTTTTTTTTTGGAAAACATGAGATGAATGTTTTTTTTTTTTTTATCTCATGCTTTCCAGGGTAGAGGGATCCCCAAATGTCTACATAAAGAGGACCTGTCATTGCTTATTTCTATCACAAGGAATGTTTACATTTCTTGTGATATGAAGAAAAGTGATAAAAAAGGGACAGTGCAAAAATTTAAAATAAAATAAATAATACATTTTTCAAGCGCCCCCATCCCTTCTTACCTGTGCGCAGAAGCGAATGCATACATAGGTCACACACACATATGTAAACAGTGTTCACACAACACACGTGAAGTATCGCTGCAAACGTTATAGCGAGAGCGATAATTCTAGCACTAGACCTCTGTAGCTCCAAGCTGGTACCTGCAAAAATCATTTTAAAGCATTGCCTATGGAGATTCGTAAGTATCGTAGTTTGTTGCCATTCCACAAGCTCGTGCAATTTTAACCACCTTCCGCCCGCCATATAGTAATATGACGGACGCAAGGCGGTTCTCCCGTTCTGGGAGGACGTCATATGACGTCCTCCCATTCTAACCGCGCAGCACGGCTCCGGGAGAGCGCAGTGCGGCAATTGGTGGTGTTCTGTGTCCCTCAGACACAGCAGATCACCGATCCACGGAAAGAGCTAAAGATGTCGACTCGGTCATGTGATCAGCTGTGTCCAATCACAGCTGATCACATGTAAACAGGGAAATGCCGGTTATCGGCATTTCTCTCCTCACGAGCTGTCACGCTGACAGCTTGAGAGGAGAGGAGAGCCGGTAATCGGTATTCCGCGAAGGGGACATGTACACTGATCATCAGAGCACTGATGATCAGTGTGCCCTGATGATCTGTGTAGCCCCAGCAGTGCCACCTGTCAGTGTCTATCAGTGCAAGCTGTCAGTGCTCATCCATGCCACCTGCCAGTGCCCATCAATGCCACATTTCAGTGCCCATCAGTGTCACATCAATGCCACATATCAGTGCCCATCTGAGCTGCCTTTCAGTGTCACCCATCAGTGCCAGTCAGTGCCACCTATCAGTGCCAGTCAGTGCTGCCTCTCAGTGCCACCTATCAGTGCCATATATGAGTGCTGCCTTTCAGTGCGCATCATTGATGCCTGTGAATGCCCATCAGTGCCACCTACCAGTGCCTCCTCATCAGTGCCCATCAGTGTCCATCAGTGCAGCCTATCAGTGCCCATCACTGCAGCCTCATTAACGCATATCAGTGAAGGAGAAAAATCACTTATTTACAAAATTTTATAACAAAAACTAAGAAAAAACTTTTTTTTTTTTTTTAATTTTCTGTGGTTTTTGGTTTAAGAAAAAAATGAAAAACCCAGAGATGATTACATACCACCAAAATAAAGCTCTGTCACAAAAAAATGATAAAAATGTCATTTAGGTACAGTGTTGCATGACTGCGCAATTGTCATTCAAAATGCAATAGCGCTGAAAGCTGGAAATTGGCCTGGGCAGGAAGAGTGACATGTTAGGTATCTATTTATTCGGTGTAACACCCTCTTTTATATTCCACCACAAAATGGGCTATACATTGTGTTTTTGCATTAAAATGACCGTCTATTTAAATAAAAAAATGGCATTTGAAAAATTGCTGCACAAATACCGTGTGATGTAAAAAAATGGCAACAACCACTATTTTATTCTCTTGGACCTCTGTTAAAAAATATAATATTTCGGAGTTCTAAGTAACTTTCTAGCAAAAAAAAAAAAAAGCAGATTTTTGCTTGTAAACAAAATGGCAGGATAGGCTCTTCAAGTAGCTATAGAGTACCATGAACACACGTTCTACAGCGACACCTACGGGCCACATATAAAATGGCACAGCCGGGCCTTTCAACATGGAGGCGTCGCAGCCATAGAACATCACTGCGAGAAGGAAGTAGGCGGAGTGATGTCACTTCCTCTTCCCTTTTCACGCTGCCTCTCGTAGCGTGGCCAGCTGTTGGATCTCCTCTCTGTCCGGTGCGGGACTTTTAGAGCGGCCCATCGATGCCCGGGATACTTCTGAGCGAGGAAATGGAGAGCGGAGTCGGCAGTAATAAGGTGGGGGGCGAAGTGAGAGGTGTGGGGGGGCTGCGTGTGACTTTTATCAGGGTTCGGCCTGGAGCGGGGAGGGGGAGGAGAGCAGCATGTAAACAGCGCTGTGTACACACGTGTGGGGGGGTCAGTGCAGGAACAGAGGGACTGTGTATGGGCCACGGGGGGAGCAAGAATCATCTACCATACCTGGAAGGACAACGCTGGGACTTGTAGTTCTACAGACTTTCGGTTTTCCAAGAATCTAATGTACTTAGATGGCGGAGTCAGCTGTCGGATCTTCTATTAGGAGTGATCACTGTTCTGTGTGCTCAGGTTGGCTTAGTAGATGATCACTCTTGTATCCCGTCTCCAGCCGTGGCCCCCCCCCCCCCCCCCCCCCCATCGCGTCTCCAGCCGTGGGGTCCCCAGCCCCCCCCCTCATCGCGTCCCCAGCCGTGGGGCCCCCCCCCCCTCATCGCGTCCCCCCAGCCGTCCCCAGCCGGGGCCCCCCCCATCGCGCGTCCCCAGCCGTGGTGCAAGTTTAAATATGCAGATAACTTCACACAAAAGGGTTCAATTCACTAAAGGATTCTGCATGCGATAGATCACATGACTAATTTGTCAGAAATATCCCATGACATAAGTCAACATACTAAAGTAAAATATTGAATGTGAAGTACAAACTGCAAAAACAAAAAGTCAATTCACTAAGCCTTGATTCACACTGAATGCAAATGTGAAATGGCGATACTTCACTTTCAAAGCTTCAGATCCGTGTGATTTTCGTAAGTCTCAATGAAATCGGAAACAAGTAGTACAGGAGCTATTGTTGAAATCACGCTGCTTCAAATCGCACTGATTAAGGCCGTGCCATAGAAATACATTCCATATGACTTCAGGTGCAGTTTGTAATTGGAACATCTCAGGTGTGAACCAGGGCTTAGGAACACACATTCTGTATTTATAACCTCCAGTAGGCGGTCAGTATTTTAGCAATGTACAAAGTAACAATGAGGGGAACTCTGCTCTGACCAGAAAGTGAAAAGTATACAATGTATCAGTGTGGAAATGTTCTGCTTTGAGCTCAGCAATGAATATAAATTGTAACCTCATTAGAGGGAGATCGTTGTGTGAATGTAACCACACTAGAAAGTTTTCAGTTTCATAATATTTCTGTGTGCATTAATCTACAGAACTATCTTCCTCTGGTGCAGTGTTGGCATGACAAAAAAAGTAAAAATAAAGCTAAATTTAACCCCTTGTCCTCCTGAGGATTTACCCCCTGACCAGGCCATTTTTTTTAATATGGCGCTGTTACTTGACAATTGCACGGTCATTCAACACTGCACCCAAATTTTACATCCTTTTTTTCCCACGAATAGAGCTTTCTTTTGGTGGTATTTGATTGCCTGTTTTTTTTTTTTTTTTTTTTTTTCTCTATAAAAAAAAAAGACAATTTTGAGAGAAAAACATTTGACTTTTTGTTATTAAACATTTCCAGTGAAAAAATTCCAAAAATCAAATGTCGTCATAAATGTAGGCCAAAAAACTCCAATCCATGTAAGTTAATTGGTTTAAATGAAATTTTATAGTGTTTACAAACGGTATATATACTAGGATTTTTTTTTTTTTTTTGTCTTTACTAGTAATGGCAACGATCAGTGACTTATTGCAGAATTGTGGCAGGCATTCTGACACTGGGGGGAATTGACTTGGTGTCACTGATATCCCCTGTGACACCAATAACAGGGATCAGTGCTAATATAAAAAGCACCTACACTGTACTAATGGCACTGGGCAGGAAGGGGTTAACATTTGGGGAGATCAAAGGGTTAACTGTGTGTTGTTTTGACATGGTGTCCTGTGTTTGTGCTTCACCGTTCGCACACTGCTTTGCATGGTAGAGTGCACAAGCTGACCAGGGAGGCAGCTGTTTTGTTTACAAACAGTTCTCCCTGCCCCTGTCAGAGATGCTCGGCTGAGGGTGCGAATAGCAGCACGGGTAGGGTGCACCTCCTACCTGGAAATGCAAAATTACATAAATATATGAAATTTTGCATACCCATGCCACCTTGTAGCAGTACGTCTGCTATAGTGCGGACAGGAAGTGCTTAAGTGATAAATATTGCAAAACATAAATATTTAATGCATTCTGTAAATGACACGTTTTTTGGGGGGTTTTATCTCTTAGTGAATTGACCCCAAATTCACTAGCATTGACCCCAAATTCCCAGCCTCCACCCAGGGTAATGCAGCAATGGTACACTCTGGCAGTAAACAGTACTGCCAGCTTGAAAGCCATACCCTGCATTAAAGTGAAAGGCATTCCCTGCATTAAAGTGGTTGTAATGGATTGTTTTTTTTATATATATTGTTTTGTCCATTGGTTCCTGCTGCTGTTAAATCCTGTGAGGAATGAGTGGGGAGCAGTCTGAGCCACAATGTGTGTGTCAATGGACACACACAGCCCGCCTTAGGAGCAAGCCCACACTTTTGTCACCATAGTTACATAGTCTGGCTGAAAAAAAACAAAAGTCCATGTAGTTCAACCATTGAAAAAATTATCCTATACCCACAGTTGATCCAGAGAAGTAAAAAAAAAAAAAAAAAAAACCCAGCAAAACATGATCCAATTTTACTCTTGATGGGGAAACAATTCCTTCCTGATCCCTGGAAAGGCAATCGGATATTCCCTGGATCAACCATGTAAAGCAGATTCATAGGAAGCAAACCTGGAACCAGTATGAGGTTAAGGAATTCTAACAGACATTTACAGCATGCTTGTTGAGGTTCTGATTTAGAAACTTTGAAGCTTGGCTTTTTTGGAAGAGCACCCAAAGCTGGACTTCGGTAATTAGGGTTGAAAATAAATATGCCTCTACTTGTCTGAATTTTTTTTTTTTTTTTTTTTTTTTAAGGGTGCTCCAACCTCTGCCTGGGTTTTCTGTCCTTTAGGTGAAGCAGAACTGTGATCACGTTTTGCACAATAGTGATGTGTATGCTCCTCCAGCGTTGGCATACTGCCTAATAGCTACACATTCTGTAGTTTAGAGGACTACTTGAGACGGGGCCATGACTGCCTGTACACTAGTTTCCGAGTGGGGCTGGCTGGTGGGTCCAACCTAAGAGTGCAGTAATTGCACCAACTTTCTGTGAGGCATAACTCTGGGGGAAAAGGGGAGTATTGCAGGAGAAAACCGGAGTTGGGCTTTAAATCCTTAAATGACGTTCCTGATTTGTGTTTTGCCCAATTCCTTTTCTGTACAGCAAATCGCTTTTTGTAATTTATCACAACAAATCATCTCTGATAACAGTTCAGGCTTAGTGTTGTATCTTTGACCCAGTCTTCTATTAATTTCCAGAAACACTCTAAAACTCCCACACCCAAGAAGATCAAGAGGAAAATGCAAAATGGGGACGCAGAAGAACTCGATTTTGAGCAAGCAACTAAACTCAATGGCTTGGTGAACGAAGATTTAAATAACAATGATCAGGTATTTTGTTTAATCTCATGTATCCCATGTATTGTAAATATTGTGAGACTTAAGCTAAATTTTATATATTTCTCCCGATGACAGAAGACACCAAAACTGAAGAAGAAAAAGAAGAAGCAACTTGCAGAAAATGAGAGTTCTTTTGAAACAGCTGAGCAGTGTACTGAGGAGCAGGACATATCGGACGCTCCAACATCAAAAAAGCTAAAAAAGAAAAAACAAAAAAAGGATCTGGAAGAATCTGAAACACAGCAAGATGCAGCGGAACCTGAGATCAATGGAGAAAAAGTAATAAATGCTGCATTCTGTGCACCAGAATTTTGCTGTTTTTATAGATTTTGTGTGTTTTCTTCTTTCACCAGAACTGTTGACTTTTGTCAGATATTCTGTGCTGTGTGTCATCCACTCTGAGAGTGACATTCCCTCTTTAATGCTAAATTCCAGGCATATATAAAGAAAACATCAAATCATGCAGTTGTGAAACTGTTTAACTGTTAAATTCAGGCATTGTAATTAGCTAAATTTGACTTGGTTTCAGATTTTGTTTGTCCTCTCTACAGCAGAGCTCAGACTATGAAAGGGAAAGGAACCAGTTGAGCATGTTGGAATGCACTTGTCCTGACAAAGAACATATCTGGTGGAGAGGGCAAAGGGATGCGATTTATCTTTCTGCTGCTTTTTCCTCACTGTCCAATAACAGGTGGGGGGCAAGGAGGGGACCTTGCTGTGCTTCTTAAAGGATAAGTGCAATGTATGAAAATGCCAATATCTTCTAAGTACAGCAAAGTCAGATTCTCAGCCTGGTTGTGCTGTCTTGCAGAGATCTGCAAATATCTTAACTGGACTAAAAATCCTTTGACAGGCAAAACCACTCCTTAATATACTGTATTTACACACATGCACAAAAGGAAGCAGCAACTGTACCTTTTTTGGGAGAAATTGTATGTCCACAAAACAGTCAGTCTCCTGTAACACAGTAATTCACACACAGGGTTGCAGCATACTTCAGTGATCTGTTTTTCATAAAGAGACAAGTAGCAGAGCGACCGTTTCAAGCAGTCCTGCTCTTTGTAAAAAAAAAAAAAATTACCTGGAATTCAGCTTTAATGCCAGTGGTTTTCAGTAGTACTTGATCATTCATATTTAAACTACAAAACATTTTATAGAAATTATTTATTCTAAAGGACAATAACCGTTACATCCTAATTTGTCTATTACCATGGAGACTATGGGTAACTGATGGGTCTCGTACAGTTACATTTAAATGTTCAAATGCAAAATGGCAGTTAGTGGATAGATTCAAGACTAAGGTTTCAGAGCATATCTTGCTTACATGTTCCCATGCATCTCTTTGAAGGTCTGGTGTAGAGTATAGGTATGGTCTAGATGTCTACAGAGATGTTTTAATTGGTGAATTTGGCAAATATCTTTCTGCATAATTGAAGGCTTAGTATTAACTGTTTCTAGAACACTAGGGGATTTTACTTGGTGGGATGGCATGATGTAGGCAAACCTTTTTCTTTAAAAAAAAAAATAAGTAAAGGGGGTTGGTACTTCTGGTATGTCCTTTACTACATATTCCAGTTTTTCTGAAGTGCGTTTTGTATACGTATTTAAAAAATATGCTTATTTCACACAAAGGAGGAAGAATTTGACATGCAATTCAGTTATCTGGCATAGCAAACAGTATGTTTGGAGGTTAAATAGGTTAGTTGTGTGTATGTTCATGAATGTCGCTGCACCTATTTTAGATTGAGACTGTTACCCTCTTACTCCATTTCCTAGATATTGACATATTAATGATGAGCTTAACACATTTGCTACAATGTTTAATCAAACCTAAAATGGGCTTCTGTCCTGCTCTAGCAGGATACCCATATAACACCTAAGAATCCAGGCGAATGTAAGACTTATTCACACAATTATCTGCAGTAGGCAGAGAAGCAACAGAAGGCTATAATCTAATCCCCACTGGGCCTGACACAAATATACATCAGTTAAAAAAAACACATTTTCCCTTTGTCCTTTCAGGGCAGTCTGAATGGGGATAGAGAGTATGCTTCTGCTTTTAGAAAAATAGTTCTCAGTTTTCCATAATGTTCTGCTCTTCCCAGTGACTGATCTGCAACCCCCCCCCATGTGTTGTAATTCATTAAGATTTTCACACTGTCGAGTTTTTTCATTTGAATTATGTGTATGCTGTAGCAGTCTCCATCCTGTGAAGGATTTCCTGTTTGTTTCTTATGTGCAGTGCATATTGTATAATTCAGTCTGTTTTTATTCTGTTCTAGAGTGGCAAAAAAGCTAAAACAAAGAAAAATTCCAAGAAAGTAAAGGAAAATGTTGACAGTGAAGACAGTGGTGCTCCTGCAGCTAAGAAAAGAAAAACTGAGCCTGAAATAAATGGAATGAAAGAGGAATCCAAAACGGAGGAAGAGGTATGTGGAATAAATATCAAAACATTGCAGAGCATGGTGTATATCATTTAGTAGAACTAAAAATTAATGCAAGCATGTTTGTTTTATGGCAGGAAATTAACTTGGAGAAAATCGAGGGAGATTTTTCAAAATTTCCAATTTCTAAGGAAACTATTGCTAATCTACAAGGTAAAATTTTAGTTTGTCGTTTTCTAAACACCATTCACTCTGACAGTCATTGGATCCAGCCATTCTATCATCTGCTGTTGTATACAGCAGGTGCAGGGAGAGGATCCCTGGCCCGCGGTTAAAACTGGGGATGGGGGGAAGAGTGCAGGGGCTGCTGCAACAGTAATATGTTACACCCTGAATATGGGTGTAATGTGTTAGGAAAGGTGAACTTATCCCATAATGTTCCTATGCACTGTAGGATGACAGTCAAGCACTGCAGGGAGGAAAAGGTTGTCTTCCCAGTAATTCCTCCTTTACCATCTTTGCTATGTGCCTTTTTTTTTTTTTTGTTTTTTTGTTCAACCAGCAAATTGTAAGAAAAAAAAAACTGCTCCTCACCGCTTTATATTCTGGCAGCGGGAAACTTCCCCGCCCTCAGAATACATTAATCAGTGCTGCAGCCTATTGCCTGCTGCCTGTAGCATTGATCGAGTGGAAAAAATACAAACAGGGCAGTTGAACAGTAGTCAGTTGGTAGATCAACTTCTGTTCAGCCACAGTGGCCACATGGATCAACCGGTCCCTGCTGAACTGGATGAATTTGAATCCATGTTTGGCCAGCTTACGTTTGCTCTCAGAGGAAGGAATTTTCACATCTTGGCTTGAGTATATTCTCACTCTGCACAGTTTTAGTCAGTATAACCGAACAGCCGCATATGTTTTCTTCTGTTAAATCCACCTTGCGCATTCTTAAAACCAGCCACTTACCATTTTTGCTGCACTGCTAGCCAGAAATGTGACACCACAAGTACCATAATACTTCTGACACATACAAATATTTAATGAATTACTCATATATACCCCAAAGACATGCTGGTAGGTTAATTGGATCCTGTCTAAATTGGCCCTAATATGTGTATGTATGAATGTAAGTTAGGGACCTTAGATTGTACACCCCTTGAGGGTTAGGGACTGATGTCAATGTTCAATATATATATATGATAAAGTGCTGCGTAAATTGATATATAGTGTAAAGCTAAATTGACAGCGCTATATAAGTACCTGAAATAAATAAACATATACCATCTCTGGGTCTAATTGGCTCATAAAGATGAGGATATACTTTCACATGTTTTTTGTATTGCTAATCTGGCATCCATATAAGTTTTTCTTGAAGTTAGGACAAAATATTTTGTTTGCTTAGCCTGTAGGCACCGGGGTTTACATATACTTTACATGACAGTCAAAAAAATGGCAGAGGAACAGTTCTCACAGATGGTTGTTTATCTCTGAACCTAGTAATAGAGTAGGAATGTTGTCTCTGTCTCATGTTAATAAAAGGTAAAATCCCAATGTTTGAGGTGGTTTAGTAAATTTCTTTAGTTTAATATTCTGTTTTTCTACTTTTCATCCTTTCTATATTCTAGCCAAAGGAGTCACTTACCTGTTTCCCATACAATCTAAAACCTTCCACACTGCCTACAGTGGGAAAGATGTTGTTGTCCAGGCTCGTACTGGCACTGGAAAAACCTTCTCATTTGCCATTCCTTTAATTGAGAGGCTAATTGAAAATAAAGAGCCGCTGGCAAACGGACGCCCACCAAGGGTATGAAACTTGCATTTTTTTTATTAATAATAATAATAGAGTGAGGAATGTTCACCCTGTGACATGTTATTAAAAAGAAAAATCCTGTTTAATTGGGGTTTGGCTGGGTGTAGTAGGTTTCTGGAGTTTAATAGCAATTTAATATATTCTGTATTCTCACTATTCAAAACTATTTGGGGGTTTGCATTGAAAAGATATTTGGGTGTAGTCTGGGGCATATTTGTAGTAAGGTAGATCTTGTGTGCTGAACATCAGGTAGTAACTAGAAAGTGACAAGCCTCAAAATTAGCTGCACCTGTAGAAGTGATTGAGTAACATTTGCCCAGAACCAGCTGCATAATGTAAAGGCAAGCTCATAGCTGCTATTGTGCCCCCCCCCCTTTTCTGTATTGATGTGTACACTGAAGTGGTTTTTCACATTCTTCTTAATTAGGTTCTGATCCTAACTCCTACTAGAGAGCTGGCGATTCAAATTATGAATGAAATTCGCAGCTTATCTAAAAAGCTGAAGACATGTTGCTTTTACGGTGGAAGTCCCTATCAGCAGCAGGGTAAGTATTATCTGACATTTCAACCCTTTCAGTCCTGAAATGTTAGAGTACCACCAGTGACTGTAGCTGTGCTATCATAGCCATTTATTCCCACTGTTATTGAATTACTTCCTTACAAATGATTTTATGGAAATAACAGCAGACCATTCTTTTTTAAAACCATTCTTCCCATAAGATACACTATATTGCCAAAAGTATTGGGACTTTTAAAAAGTATACATGCGCCTTTACACAGCACATGATATTTAATGGCATCCCAGTCTTAGTCCGTAGGTTTCAGTATTGAATTGTCCCACCCTTTGCAGATATAACAGCTTCAACTCTTCCGGAAGGCTGTCCACAAGGTTTAGGAGTGTGTCTATGGGGATGTTTGACCATTCTTCCAGAAGCACGTTTGTGATTTCAGGCACTGATGTCGGGCGAGAAGGCCTGGCTCTGTCTCTGCTAATTCATCCCAAAAGTGTTCTGTCAGGTTGAGGTCAGATCAAGTTCCTCCACCCCAAACCCACTCATCCATGTCTTTATGGACGTTGCTTTGTGCACTGGTGTGCAGTTATGTTAGAACAGGAAGGGGCCTTCCCTAATCTGTTCCCACAAAGTTGGGAGCGTGAAATTGTCCAAAATGTCTTGGTATGCTGACGCCTTAGGAGTTCCCTTCACTGGAACTAAGGGTCCAAGCCTAACCCTTGAAAAACAACCCCACAACATAATCCCCCCTCCACCAAACTTTGCGCTTGGCACAATTCAGTCAGGCAAGGACATAAATTTCATTTGGCTGTAGTGCTGCATGACCTCACACTTGTCAGTTGAAGTAAAGCAACACTGTATTGCAAAAAATGGCCTGGTCAGGAAGGGGGGTTAAATCCTCTGGAAGGCAAGTGGATAATGTAAAATGTCCACAGGTGGTTTAAAACTGCTTGTTAGCCCTTCATCAGAGATTTGCTTAAGCAGCTGTCAGCATAAATAATATCACACTTTTATTACAATATTAGCATTTTCTGGTTTAAATAATGCAAACGTCACACCATATAGAAAGTTATGGTCAGTTCTGGATTATGTATTACTAATGTACCTCTTTTCCCTGTCTTTCATCAGTATTTGCTATTAGAACTGGACTTGACATACTTGTTGGGACACCTGGTCGTATACGGGATCTTATCCAGAATTATAAATTGAACCTCACTGCACTTGAACATGTGGTGCTAGATGAGGTAGATATGATGTTAGAGATGGGGTTTGCTGAACAAGTGGAAGAAATCTTATCTGTCCGTTACAAACCTGGTAAGTGTCAAACAGAATGACGTAAAAAAAAAAAAAGCTTTACCAGTAAGCGCACTTGCCTGATGTCTTTCAGTTGTAATAACCATGTACCTGTGAACAGGCAGGGCGACCAAGCAAAAATGACTGGATTCTTCAATGTTAAAACATTCATTCAACCCCAAATCTTTAGGTTTAATTTCCCACTTAACCTTTCTGACAGTATATTTGTGCATGCATTATGTTCTGTAATGAATACCTGTGCCATTCAGCTAAAACGAAGTGCTCATAATGTGATGGAAAATGCATGTTGAAATACAGATGTATAGACAAGTGAAATGTGGAATTTTCCTGCAAAAGTTGAGCCTGGCTCTTACCTTTTTTTTGATCATTGTTTGTGATGCGCTGCCACAGCAATCAGTAGGAAGGTGGGATGAATCTTGTGAAAGTCAATATTTTCACATAGCTTTATCTTTTATCCTAGCCACAACATTGAAGTAGTTTTATAACTGTGACAGTTTATTACAACTTTGTCTCCTTTGTCTTGAAGATCCCGAACAGAATCCACAGACTCTCCTATTCTCTGCAACATGCCCAGATTGGATGTACAATGTTGCAAAAAAAATATATGAAAAAGGAATACGCAAAGATTGACCTTGTTGGACACCGTAGTCAGAGGGCTGCCATCACCGTTGAGGTTAGTAGCTCATTGTTTAATAATGTTCATCCGGAGAACTGTTATGGTTTCTGGTAATGCATACATGTGCTCATTTTGGTCATTTTGGCTTGTTGTCTTGTCAACTTGACTAAATCCCCTTTTTTAAACCCCTCTTACTTGTAATGATGGGTTCTATTCAGATAACCTGCTCAACTGCCCAGCATTGTCCTGCTGCAATTTGCTGTCACGGGCCAGGTCTTGCATTTTCCCTTCCTATGTCATCCATCTGTCTGCTGTGTCCCTGTAGCAGTGTCCTGGGGTATGCGATATTCCAGGAGGGTGCAGGAGTAGGACACTCCATTCTCGCCTAGGTACCAATGAGTGAGGGCAGGAGTATAAAACAAAGTAAACAAAAAAGGGGAGGAAAGCGTCCTTGGTGAAATACATAGCTGGGAACTGTTCATTTAATATGTAGTTAATTTTGTTTTTCGTTTTTTTTTTTTTTTTTCCTTGCAGCATTTGGCCATTGAGTGTAACCGATACCAGAAGGCAGTTGCTCTAGGTGACATTGTCCAAGTTTATAGTGGAAGTCATGGGAAAACCATCGTTTTTTGTGACTCCAAATTAGAAGCTCATGAATTATCAACCAACTGTGGCTCACTGAAACAGGTCTGTATTTTGTTTTACATTTGCTACAACAGGACTTTTGTGTTCCATAAATACCATTACTTGATTGTTATTTGCAAACTTTAATATTCTAACAGTTTTGTGAGAGTTTCAAGGGTCAAGGACATGCTCAGTATACTGCTTTCAGTTTCTATAAAGCCAGCATATAATTATACACATATTGTGGGGGGTAAAAAAGGCTATAGATTTTTATTTAAACAAAGCCAGTAAACTTATAAATGAATTTCAAGTATGGCAGTTTTTACATTGATCCAGCTTGAATCCATTGGAATCCAGTGCCTGCTACAGTGATTTCTGGAGGTGTCCCACAGGTGTATGGTACACACACACTTACGTTAATCCAAGCTGGACCAATATAAAAACTGCTATACCCTAAATTCAGTTTTTTTTTTTTTTTTTTTAAATTCAGCAAGGCTACTGTGGATGCCCTGATGCTTTGTTACAAAATGGGCTGTCTGGTTGTGGATACTGTGGCAGAACCATCTGTCATGTTTCCCTTTCCTCCCTCCCTCCCTCCCTCCGTTCACCTTTCCCTCTTCTTTCTTCCTTCCACCTCCCCCCCTCCCCAGTGAAAGGAAGACCCTCTTCCAGTTGTACCTTCTTATGAGCTATGTCAGTTCTCATGTAAGTTATTTTTCTGTGCTCCTATTTTCTTACGCCTTCATACTGTGCAGGGTTTTTGGTCTTCTACGGCATATTGTATTCTGCTAATAATTTTAAATAAAGGATTTTAAAAAAATCAGCAAAGTGGATGCTGTCTAACAAATATTTTAAAATTAAATTTTTTGCAGTCTGCCAAAGCTCTACACGGCGACCTTCAGCAAAAGGAGCGCGAAATCATCTTGAAAGGCTTTAGAAATGGATCATTTGAAGTTCTTATTGCAACAAATGTTGCTGCTCGAGGTCTAGACATTCCAGAAGTTGATCTTGTTGTGTTGTATTCTGCACCAAAGGTGAGGCTCTTTTGTAATTTTGTTACTTTATTCAGAATTTGTGCTCTTCGGCTAGCTGATTTGTAAATATACTGCAATGTTCCCTAACCATTATTACTGTTATATTCATGACCTAGTTTACCTGGAATGCTGTTTGCATAACAGTTTTGTAACTTGTGGATAATAGGCTATAACTGTTGTGTCCTATCTATAGGAAGCGGATGCATACGTCCATCGTTCAGGACGTACGGGTAGAGCTGGGCGCACAGGAGTTTGTATTTCTCTTTATGAACCCAGAGACCGACATTATCTCCCAGCTGTGGAGAGGAGTACGGTATGTGAATCTGCAATCAAGTGGCACCAATGTTTTGCTCTTATGTATATTTTATATTATAGGGATATGGAATGGAGTGTTATGTATTATCCTCCCGAAGCTTATTGTAGTACCCTTATGTGTCTTACAGAAAGTCCATAACTCTTTGCTTTCTCCTAGGGTATCAAGTTCAAGCGGGTTGGTATCCCATCCATACTGAATGTTGCCCAGTCCTCCAGCGCTGATGCAATAAAGTAATTCATTTTTATTTTTTTCAAAATCTTTATTGCAGGTGAATTAAATACTAAGCATGAAATGTAAAGATATGGATTACAGTTGGCAAATAATGGATATCCAAAACAAAAATGTTTAGCAGTGCAGGATAATTTTTTGTTTCCATAGCAGTTAATGTGTTACAATCAGCCACGTAAAGCTTAGAAAGCTAGGTGCTGAGGTTGCTTGCTCTGGCCCTTCCACTGCTGTGGCTCACTATTGCTTGAGGAGGGTCCCATCAGAGTGGTGAATAAACAAAATAGAACTGGAGATCAGAAGTCAGAGCTGAGGACTACAAGGACTGGCCGTTTTTCTTCATCAGAGTGCCCAACTTTTCTGGGCTCACACATTCTACAACAAATTGGTGCAGTCCTGTACCAGGAGACAGCAGCCATCACTTTGATTTTCATGATGCCATGCGTGGCTCTGCCTGCAGAGCTGTATGATTCATTCTAAGATCTGTGAATAAAGTACAAGTCATGTCTGCCACTGTGGCTGATAGACTTGTATTTCTCAGCAGAACATACACCTAGTCCATTGTAACTTCTTGCAGCAACTAAAAGCTCATACCTTGGTACAGACAGAGAGCTAGGAGAAGTGTCTGCAGGAGCCTGTGCATCGCACCCATGGTTGCACTGCAACCATGAAGACTTGTTTACAAAAAAAAAAAAAAAGTTCATTGTTTCTGCCAATCTATTTTTATTTTTTAACTTCTAGCCTTTAAACATTGGGGACATGGTAAAGTGGCTGCAAATTTGGAAGGGGCACATACTGTGTGACTATTTACTGCTACTGGTGTTGATCTGATCTTGATCTTTTTATAGGTCACTGGATTCCATCCCAGCTGATGTCATTGAACATTTTAAAGTATATGCAGAAGAACTTATTGAAAAGAAAGGAGCATTAAATGCGCTTGCAGCAGCTTTAGCACATATTTCTGGAGCTTCATCTTTAAAACAACGATCATTTCTTAATTTGGAAACGGTAAGAACACTTTTCAAAACATATTTTAAGAATAAACAGATATGGAACATGCAGCAATAGCAGGGAAACAAGCTGACTTAGGACTGAGTCATTAGTGGAAATTTATGTGTAATTTTTGCTACTGTAAATGTAGGCTGATGGCCTAAAGCTTAACTCAGCTGGAGACAAAAAAAAACTTGGTGGGGGACACTGTTGCAAGCGTTGGCAGAATTTGTCATTTTTGCATTTAAAAAAATCAGAGCCTCTAAAGTATTTGTGATTAGGTATATAAATTATTTCAAAACATTTGCTTGAAACATACCTACTGAATGTTTAAGTAGCAACCTGCTTGATAGAGACTTGTTGGAACCAGGTCCATGTACAGTATTAATATTGGGTAGACTTTTGGTATTTACTTCACCAATGCCACAGAAAAGGCTAGTTATAATATGTCCGACAACACTTTGACACACCTCACTGGCCTTTTTTGTAGCATTGGCGCAGCGAAGGCTTCTTTGTGGCAACTCGACCATGCGGCTAATTTTTGTTCAAGTATCATCGTATTGTGCTCCTTCAGTACAACCACACCATCTTTTTCCAGAGCAGCGTTCTATTTCTCTTGAGGTTACCTGTACTGGTTTTTCTTTGTATACCAAACAATTCTTCTGTCAGTTGTGGCTGCAATCTTTCTTGCTCTAACTGTACTTGGCTTGGTATCAAGGGATCCCCGAATTTTCCACCACTTAATACATGATTTAACAGTATTGACTGACATATTCAAAGCGCTGGACATCTTTTTATATCCTTTTTTTTTTTTTTTTTTTTAATCCTTATAAAGCTCTATTACCTTCTTATGCAGTTCTTCTCTGGTTCCCAGGGCTCAGTATCTAATTGCAATTTAAAAAGCCACAGATGTGGGAAATTAACTTTTTAATTGCCGTTTCAACCTGCGTGTCACCTTTTTGTGTGTCTGTACCAAGGCCAAACATTCCAGGGTATGTAAACTTGATCAGGGCCATTTGAGTGATTTTTCTGTTATGATTAAAAAAACAGTATGTGACAAGTGGCTTCATGTGATCACTATCCTTTAAAAGACAGTTTTTTGGCATGATCAGTCATATTTTCAATATCCATGCCAAGATTTCGCTATTTCTGCCAGGGTATGCAAACTTTTGAGCACAACTGTGTGCCAATGGGATATTTCAGTTTTTTCCTTTTTTGTAAATTTGCAAACATTATCTACAATTCTGTTTTCACTTTGTTATTAGGGGTACGGGGTATAGATTAATGAGAAAAAATGAATTTAAACAACTGTAGTATCAGGCTGCACCATAACAAAATTAAAAAAAGTGAAGGGGTCTGAATACCTTTTTATGAATGCACTGTAACATAAGGCCCTAGTTTGTGCTGTGTGACCGGCACAGGAGGGAACCTATAGAAAGACTTCTCCAGTAAAGCTGAACTTTTGTTACTCTTGATAGATGCATCCCAACATTTCACTATAGGTTCACTTTACGTTCAGATGTGTATTATATACATGGTAACAGGTGTTAAAATTGAGGGTTACTTTCCTAAAACCCGTGTGGTATGACATTAATGGCAAAAATGTGGATACTTTTTTTTATTCTCTTGACATTTTGAGTGGTATTTCTTTATTCCCATAGAACGAATGATGAATAGTTATTTTATGTGATACATTATACCAATTGGCAACCTTCTTTACCACTTGAAAACTTTTGACATACAAGGCACTTAACAGCCTCATCTAGGCACATTGCGCATCCTTGTACTTTTTTAGGCTTCCTTTTACTGCTGTGCCTCCTCTACCCAGTGTAATTGCTGGAGCCAGCTGTCAGTTGCAGAACCCCAAATGGCCAAAGTTGGCATAATTTGGGATTGACTATGATTTTCTGTGCATAATTAGTACACATAAGGTAATATAAACTAAAAGCAAGTGACCACTTTATATTTGGACATACAGATGCATGTTTTTGGCAGACAAGCTTGATTAAAGTGTGGTTGCTATTAATACCAGTGTGCAGTTTTTTTGTTTTTTTTGTTTGTTTTTTTGTGTAGTAGTGTGAATTATTCATATAGGTAACATAAAGACAATCAATATTCATGTGTTAATGCAAGATTAAATTAGTAATCCAGGCTAACCTTAATCTTAAAACTGCTTCCACTCTCCTTTTTAACACCTATACTAACTGGGCAAAAAGATGCATATGCTTGCCTATTTTCAGGGTGCTCTGGTCTGGTCACCTGATCTAACTGGTGTCGACTGGGGCAGGCTACTTGGGAGAACAGAGCGCTTGCGGATGGCTGGAATGCTTGAGCAGTGATATCACCCATAGGCTTACAATGAGCCATCCATTGTCCGTTCTCCCTTCTCTCTCCTCAAGCCGCTGCTGGCTGACACAGGAGCCAGTCATTTGACCAGACCCGAGCACCCTGAAAATCAGAAAATGCTTATTTCCTTTCAAGGTTAGTGTAGGTGTTAGGAGGGGGGTGGGAGCGATAGCCAGGAGTTTTACTTTTATTCAACATCTTCTATTTTTCCTTTTGCAAATCATTAAAATGTTTATTGTGCATTGCAGGGCTATGTCACAGTTGTATTGAAGACTTCAGTTCCCATCCATAATTTGAGCTATGTTTGGCGTGCAGTTAAAGAACAAATGGGAGAAGACATTGATTCCCAAATTCAGAGGATGTGCCTCCTAAAGGATTCCATGGTAAGATAACTTTTTTTTTATATAAAATACTATTTACCCAAACAGTTTAATAGGTGCTCCCTTTTAAGGACTTTCTATGGCATAAGGCATATCAAAAGCATTGTTTCTTGTAACCAAATTAATATCTTTTATCTTTCCAACAGGGTGTTTGTTTTGATGTTAAGGAAGATACTTTAAAGACTTTTCAAGTAAGTAGCTTTCTAAAATTCTGGTATGACAATATTAATTTGTGTTCAGTTGATTTATGCAGCAAAGCACCAAGAACAGTTTAGAAACCTGCATCTACATAACACTTAAGGTAAAACTTGGTGTTACTAAACCCAGGACCCTACATTCACTATATCTGGTCTCCCACAGTACACAGAACATGGAAGTGCAATTTTTTTAGTAAATATAAACTGCTAAATACCTTTTTCACATCAGCAGTTAGAGCAGTCTTGTGACTTCTATCAGTGTTCAGCTAAGCACTGGTTACAGCTTGTAGGAGTTTTCTTTCTGCTCTGAGGATGCAGAACCCCTCACCTCTATCTGGGCAGTGCTTATTGGCCCTGTGCTGATCACATGCACTCTACCAAGAAAAAAAAAAAAAAAAAATCTCGAGCAATGCACACCAAACTGAGCATGTGCAGAGTGTCTTCACACGATATGTCTTATCAGGAGATAAGAGGGGGGTACTGGAAGAAGGGCGGGATCAGAGAAGTCAGGATCAAACAGCATTTTTACACAATGCAGAGGATTAACCCCTTAGGTTCCACAGTGAGTATAACAAGCATGCTTCACTGCATATACAGACTGATTTTACTGTTGTGGGTTTAGTAACACGTTAAGGCAAAGAGCAACACCCACAGTTAAAATACATGTGATTTCACCATCAAAGAATTTGTAATTCTGCACAGCCCATCCTATGATTTAAAAACCTGTTTTCCTCTGCACAGGTAAGACAGGTTTATGCTCTTGTGCCTTTTAAAGCAACTCCACTTCCTATATCGCCTCCTTGTTGAACAGCAAATCAGCCTTGCCACCTTGCCCTATCAGCAGGGACCTGATCTAGGTAGCAGTAATGCAAAGGAAGGGATAACAAAACCGATATATGCCATTATTAAATAACACTTGTAAAAATGTGCATGGTTGGAGTTCTACTGGAGCTTTCATGATGGTTATGCTTGTGCAGGAAGACTGGAGGGACTTGGGCGACTTGCCAGATGTCATCTGGTGTTTTGAAATATTCAATGATTACCAGTTCCCCTGATAGATCATTGTTCCTTTTTGTACTATCTTACTGTATAAACCTGACAGATACTCTTTTTTTAATGTTTTGAAACCATAACTATTTTAATCACACCAATCTTTTTATTTTTATGTTGCCTTTTGATTCATTTATACTTAGTCACTTCACAATTACAAGTCAGTTAAAGCCTTTCCATAAGTGGTCCCAGCCTGTGCCTTTTGAACTCAACATTTCTTTGGAAAGCTTGCATTTTCAGCTGTAATTTTAACATTGCTGTGTGTACTATTTAAACTAGGTTATTTGTTTTATCTTTCAGATTTAACAGATGCATAGAATTGTAAATGAAAATAAATCTTGATTCCTTTATTTTAGGATTCCTGGAAAGATTCAAGGCGTTGGCAGCTTTCTGTGGCAACCGAGCTCCCAGCACTTAACGAATCAAGGAGAGACCTAGAAGGTCCACGTGGTAGGGGCGGCAGAGGTGGCAGATCATTCGACAGAAGGCGCAACAACAGGAATTCATCAAACAGAGGTGGAGGCAGAGGCAGGCGAGGGGGTTTTGGAAGGAGGAAATAGGACATGCCATGAATTTGAACTAAATTATTCTTTTTTTAACTTCAATATTCATGAGGACCAGCACTGCCCAACTTATTTTTCTATTCCTGTTAATAAATGTTAACAACGCCACTTGTATTCTATGCTGTCTAAAGCTGTGTAACACCGCCCCTTAATAAACGTTTATTAATGGAATTTCTGGTTAATTTTTCCGAACGTTCTTGTATTTATTAACACTTTCATGGGAAGAGGTCATTGTGTTAATGTATCTTAAAGTAGAACTATAGGCAAAACTTTTTTTTTTTTTTTTTTCTTTTTGGATACAGTAGGGGAGGGTTATAATCTCGGTCAAATTGTTTTTCATCATCTGTGTTCCATTGTGGAGATTTCCTATCACTTCCTGTCCCATAGCCAAACAGGAATTGAGAGGAAATCCCTGAAAATTAAGGGAATTCCGTGGGGACCCCCAGGTCACAAGAACTAGTCTCCCCATTGGAAGATTTCCTCTTACTTTTCTGGGGTCAACCCAATATTTGGGGTTTTCTTTTACTTTCAATGACCAATAGACAGGGGGAAGCTCTCTAATGCATGCACGGACAGCAACAAAAATTGACAGGTGTTCTAATCCTTCTCCACTCTTTCCAAAAAAAAAAAAAAAGTTTTGCCTTTTTTAGTTTTTCTATTTAATCCATTTTTTGTTTTTTTGTATTTGTGTGCTAAAAACCTTGCTTTCTTAATTATACATTGCAGGACACAGGTAGAGTATTCTAACTCCATGGATTATAGGTGTGTACCTTCAGGTGATGATTGGACATGGGCAAAGTTTTTTTTTTTATAAGACCCGTCCTCCGTGCCTCCCTATAATCCTAACCCCACTCAGAGTCCCCAGGTTTGTGCTAGTGTCTGAAAATGATGGATCTGCATGGAGAAAATCGCCCTTTGCTTACATTGGTTTATTATATTTCATTGTCCTTGGTTTCTTCAAACACTGATTTCTAATGCTAACATAGAAGCAGTGTATCCGGATCAGCACAACCTCTTTGAATTTTTGGAAGCCATACCTGGACCACGCGCTACAGAGAGAGCCTGTAATGTTGCTTCAGGCTCTGGATCCTGCATGAGCATGCAGCTAGGTGCACCGTGTTGAGTCAGCCACAGTGTTCCATACAGGTCCAGGACCGTGGTTCATATCTGCAACTTAGTCCCTGAAGACCCCTTTTTGGGTTATGCCCACTATGATTCACGCATCCAGGACTTTATATACAGTCCAGCATTGTGGACCGCTAAGATGGGGGGGGGGTCACCCTGTGTCTGACCATTGGTAAAAATGGGGCTGTGTTTGGAATGTGTTCACCTTGCAATGTAAACTTTTCAAATTTGGAGCGGCGATCATTCAACCACTCAGAGCTTAGTGGCAAACATTCGCTCTGCCGAAGGCCTGAACAACAAAACTTCAGAGTGATGATGCATTTTTGCACCAGAGCAAGAGCCAGCTCTAACATCTTCCAATTCTAGCCCTCTTTCAGGCCTATTTGACTAAAGCTGAACTCTCTGCATCTGTCATATTTCCTCAGACAGACCACAGCCTTAATACAGCCATCTTTGTCCAGGGCCCACAAATTTAGATGGCATTTGAAGGAAATTGTATTTATTTTTTTTATTCTAGATCATTGCTACTATTAAAATAAATGGCACTACAGCTGACCGTTTTATAATTGTCACCGAAGGCCTGAATGATCAATGATAGTCATGACTAAAAGCAAGTGGCAGTGCAAGTGTCGGCTGCTGGCTTTCAAAAGGAGAACTTTACAGATCTATCCTCAGATCAGAACATCATAGTGGGGGATGTTTATTTTTGAAGGTTGGTAACGGATTGGTTAAAGCCCAAATAAACCTTCTCTTTCTTTATGAAAAAAAAAAAAAAAAAATTAGATCGTTTTATGAGATCATTTAGATGGGCTGGGCTATGTTCCCAGTATGGTGGGTATAAGTGCTTGGGTATGTTTCTGGCAGAAAGTCCTCAAAAGTGGATCCAAGGTGCTCCCTGCTCAATGGTATGTTTCTTTTCAAAGAAGGCATTTAACCACTTCCTGTCCAGACAGTTTTCACCCCCTTCCTGTCCAGGGCAATTTTCAGCTTTCAGCGCTATCACACTTTGACAATTGCGCAGTCATGCAACACTGAACCCATATGAATTTTTTACCCTTTTTTGAGACAGATAAAGCTTTATTTTGGTGGCATTTATTCACTGCTGGGATTTTAATTATGTAAATGAAAAAGTCCAAAAATTTTGAAAAAAGTGTTTTGCAAATAAAATTTTGCAAATAAATCTTTAATCATAAATCAAGGCTGAAATATATCTTTTTAGTAAAAAAAAAAAAAAAAAAGCCGCATTAGTTTATAACCAAAAAGTATAATTTTTAAACTTTTTTTACATTTTTATTTTTTTTTATTTGTTTTATTTTTACATACTGTCACCCTAGCAGTACAGTGTCACCATGGTGACACTGTTCTACTTGTGGGGGGTGATGATTTTTTTTTTTTTTTATATATACAGTGATTGCTTTTACACCCATATAGGATGTAAAAGCAATCATTTTTCCTCTCTGTCTGCATTCTTGCAGCCATTGAGAAATACTGAGTGAGCTGTGATTGGTCACAGCTAGTCACATGGTACAAGGCTGTCGTGAATAGCCTTGTACCATGTGACCTCTGTGATCATTCACAGATTTCACACGTAAGCAATGATGTCACAAGTGACATCTTGCTTACTACTTTGCATGTGATCACTGATTGGCCAATCAGTGATCACATGATCGGGATCCCGTCCAACGATCAGTGTTTCGCTGTGTCCTGAGGACACAGCGGGCACCGGATCGCTGTGCTGCGTGCTCCAAGGGAGCGAGCGCAGCTAGAAATGGCGGGTGCCGTTTATGAACGGCAACCCGCCCCTGGAGTGCCACCGTCCTGCCGTTTTTATAAACAGCAGGCGGACGGCAAGTGGTTAAAAGCAAGACACTGACAACAAAGAACCTTGACCCCTGTCACATTAAACCTGTTTACTCATAAGATCAATTATATGAATGATTATTATGTGATTAAAGCAGTATTAAACCCAAAAGCAAACATTTTATTGCAGCTTACCAAGATATGACTATTAGTTTTCTTTTTTTAGTCTTGTTTCTATTTTCAACTTGTGATCTAACCAGTAAGTCTTTTTTTTTTTTTTTTTTTTTTTTTAAGCCCTCTTCCTGTTACATGGATGAGACAGACCATTTAACACAGGAAGAGTGCTTGCAATGATCAACTTTTATTTATTTCTGTAAAAGCTTTTTACTGAAAGGGGAAAAAAAGTTTGACTTCTTATAAAATGTAAGCTGGAGTTCAGCTTCAATTTGTTGTGATTTTTACATTTTCTAGTATTTCTAACACTTCCCTTCCTCCATCCTGACAATGCTGTTGTCCAAATCTGCTCCCTGAGCACATTCATCCAGAGTGGTGTCTGTATAATACAGGAGGTCTGTTACTGGCCAGATCACCAGGGGGAAAGCAGAGTGGAAAAAAAAAAAATAATTGGTAAGCTAAAATATATTACATTTGTGTTTTTTACCTCTTTAAATATAGTGGCTATAAAAAGTCTACACACCCCTGTTAAAATGTCAGGTTTCTGTGATGTAAAAAAAAATGGGACAAATAATTTCAGAACTTTTTCCACCTTTAACCCCTTTGCGCCAGTGCCTCCTGGCCCTTTAATAGGTTTCAGAAGCCAGGAGGCGGGGGTGGGGTTTTAGGGTCATGTGACCACTGTGATTTGCTGTCACGGCAGTCACATGATCGGAAAAGGTCCCAATCGCAAGGGGAGTTTGGGACCTTTCCGTGAGACAGGGCCATATGTGCTGGGAGCGCGCTCTCAGCACATGTATTTTCAAATGGTATGCAAATATTGGCCGCTCGGCGTCGAGGCCCAGATGTCGAGAGGCTACATATTTGCGTGCGCTCAGCGTCAAGGGGTTAATGTAATGTAACTGTATTGCTCGGTTGTACAACAAACTGAAATCTTTTAGGTGGAGGAAAGTAAATATAAAAAACTAAAATAATATGGTTGCGTAAGTGTGCACACCCTTAAACTAATACTTTGTTGAAGCACCCTTTGATTTTATTACAGCACTCAGTTTTTTGGGGTTTGAGTCTATCAGCATGGCACATCTTGTTTTGACAATATTTGCCCACTCTTTCTTGCAAAAACATTACAAAGCTGTCAGATTGCGAGGGCATCGGTGCACAGCCCTCTTCAGATCACCCCGCAAATTTTCGATCAAATTCAGGTTTGGGCTCTGCTCTGGCTGGGCCATTCTAAAACTTTAATCTTCTGGTGAAGCCATTCCTTTGTTGATTTGGATGTATGCTTTGGGTCGGTGTCATGCTGAAAGATTTAAGTTCTAGCAGAAACCTGAAGGCTTTGTGCCAATATTGACTGGTATTTGGAACTGTTCATAATTCCCTCTATGTTTACTATGGCTCAAGTTCCAGCTGAAGTAAAACAGCCCCAAAGCATTATGCTTCCACCACCATGCTTCACTGTGGGTATGGTGTTCTTTTGGTGGTGTGCAGTGTTGTTTTTGCACCAAACATCTTTTGGAATTATGGCCAAAAAGTTCAACCTTGGTTTTATCAGACCATAACCCATTTTCCCACATGTTTTTGGGAGACTTCAGATGTGTTTTTGCAAAATTTAGCTGGGCTTGGATGTTTTTCTTCGTAAGAAAAGGCTTCCGTCTTGCCCCTCTTCCCCATAGCCCAGACATATGAAGAATACGGGAGATTGTTGTCACATGTACCACACAGCCAGTACTTGCCAGTTATTCCTGCAGCTCCTTTAATGTTGCTGTAGGCCTCTTGGTAGCCTCCCAGACCAGTTTTTCTTCTCGTCTTTCCATCAATTTTGGAGGGACATCCAGTTCTTGGTAATGTCACTGTTGTGCCATATTTTCTCCACTTGATGATGACTATCTTCACTGTATTCCATGGTATATCTAATTGCTTGGAAATTCTTTTTTACCCTTCTCCTGACTGATACCTTTTAACAATGAGATCCCTCTGATGCTTTGGAAGCTCTCTGCGGACCATGGCTTTTGCTGTAGAATGTGACTAAGAAAATGTCAGGAAAGACCTACTAGAACAGTTGAACTTTATTTGGAGTTAATCAGAGGCACTTTAAATGATGGCAGGTGTGTACTGATTCCTATTTAACATGATTTTGAATGTGATTGCTTAATTCTGAACACGGCTACATCCCCAGTTATAAGAGGGTGTGCACACTTATGCAGCCACATTCTTTTAGTTTCTTTTCTTCCCCCCCCTTAAAAGATTTCAGTTTTTCAATTGAGTTGTACAGTTTATAGTTCACATTAAAGGTGGAAAAAGTTCTGAAATGATTTATCTTTGTCTAATTTTTTTACATCACAGAAACCTGAAATTTTAAAAGGGTGTGTGTAGACTGTATATCTACTGTATCTAGAAAGTCCTGGTAAAAGTGAGTTGACTCCCTGTAGTCAATCATGCTGCAGCTGATGTAATAAATGGTGAGATAAACAAAAATACACACACATAACAAAATTATAGTTACAAAGTTGTTTTTTTAGGTCTGCTGTAACCCTGAAACATTTAAAGCCAAAACATTTTTATGTTGGCAGTAGGGGAAGTTTTTTTTTTTTTTTTTTTTTTTTTTTCCGCCAACGGAGTTTCATTGGATTTATTTCCCTTTACTTCCTAGCAGTAGATTCAACAGGAAATGGGACTATCTGCACCGATTCACTTCATCAATTGGGAAAAAAATAAAATATATAACATACCAGTTTTTTCAAATATTTGACTAATTTATAACATTCTCATTAGGTCCAAATACTAGCCAGAATGTATTATTTTATTAATTCTAGTTTTATTAATTTTTTTTTAACCTAATTGATGAACTGAAATAGTATGGTTTAGTATTTATGTTCTAATTTTTCTGAAGCTTATGTAAATTTTTGTAAATATTTTATTCTATCTTTTCATGTGACAACACTGAAGAAATGACACTTTGCTACAATGTAAAGTAGTGAGTGTACAGCTTGTATAACAGTGTAAATTTGCTGTTCCCTCAAAATAACTCAACACACAGCCATTAATGTCTAAACTGCTGGCAACAAAAGTGAGTACACCCCTAAGTGAAAATGTCCAAATATGGGCCCAAAGTGTCCATATTTTGTGTGGCCACCATTATTTTCCAGCACTGCCTTAACCCTCGTGGGCATGGAGTTCACTAGAGCTTCACAGGTTGCCAATGAGTCCTCTTCCACTCCTCCATGATGACATCACGGAGTTGGTAGACGTTCGAGACCTTGCGCTCCTCCGCCTTCTGTTGAGGATGCCCCACAGATGCTCAATAGGGTTTAGGTCTGGAGACATGCTTGGCCAGTCCATTACCTTTACCATCAGCTTCTTTAGCAAGGCAGTGGTCATCTTGGAGGTGGGTTCGGGGTCGTTATAATGTTGGAATACTGCCCTGCAGCCCAGTCTCTGTAGGGTGGGGATCATGCTCTGCTTCAGTATGTCACAGTACATGTTGGCATTCATGGTTCCCTCAATGAACTGTAGTTCCCCAGTGCCGACAGCACTAATGCAGCCCCAGACCATGACACTCCCACCACCATGCTTGACTGTAGGCAAGACACACTTGACTTTGTACTCCTCACCTGGTTGCTGCCACACACGCTTGACACCATATGAACCAAATCAGTTTATCTTGGTTTTATCAGACCATGTGACATGGTTCCAGTTATCCATGTCTGCTTGTCTTCAGCAAACTGTTTGCAGGCTTTCTTGTGCATCATCTTTAGAAGAGGCTTCCTTCTGGGATGACAGCCATCCAGACCAACTTGATTCAGTGTGCGGTGTATGGTCTGAGCACTGACAGGCTGACCCCCACCCCTTCAACCTCTGCAGCAATGCTGGCAGCACTCATATGTCTATTTCCCAAAGACAACCTCTGAACATGATGCTGAGCACGTGCACTCAACTTCTTTGGTCAACCATGGTGAGGCCTGTTCTGAGTGGAACCTGTCCTGTTAAACAGCTGTATGGTCTTGGCCACCATGCTGCAGCTCAGTTTCAGGGTCTTGGCATTCTTCTAATAGCCTAGGCCATCTTTATGTAGAGCAACAATTCTTTTTTTTCAGATCCTCATAGAGTTCTTTGCCGTGAGGTGCGATTTTGAACTTCCAGTGACCAGTATGAGAGAGTGAGAGCGATAACACCAAATTTAACACACCTGCTCCCCATTCACACCTCAGACCTTGTAACATTATTGAGTCACGTGACACCAAGGAGGGATAATGGCTAATTGGGCCAAATTTGGACATTTACACTTAGGGGTGTACTCACTTTTGTTGCCAGTGGTTGATACAATAATGGCTGTGTGTTGAGTTATACCCTTGATAAAGTCACGTGACTAGTGATGAAATGCGTCGGCTAGGAGTGTGCGGATGACGTCAAGACGTTGCCATTCATCGGGATAGCGGCTTATAGTACTCTACAAACGGCTCTTGGAACGACATTACAGCAGGCAATAGCATTCATTAAGTGGGCCCATGCTTTGCCTTGCATTACATTACGGATGATGTCTGTTTTGAGCATGTATAGGACTCTGCTGCTGAGATGATACTGCCATCTTGTGTTTAATCAGTACATCACTGGATCTTCATCATACCTGGTGCAAAATACACCTCCGGAACGTGAGTGTATTTCATATGTTTTAATTGATGAATAAAAGTTTAAAAAGATAAAGCACCATGTTGAGTTCTTTTTAATGAAGAATACGGCTGATATAAAGACGCTTATCAGAAGGGAACTTACTTTGGAGTCTTCATTCAGCAAGCTGATCTTCTGAGTCCATATGGGACCAAAAGTGCAGTTAGACCGTAACATTGTACTGTATAATGTGAGGTCACACCGCATGAGGTGAGCAGA